GAAACTTACCAGTCAGATGTTACCATGGTGATGAGATATGCAAAGTTTGATTTGCATTCTTAATACCCCTTGTATGGCACTGACAGTGTATATATAATGAGGGTCACAAAACAGAATGTTAGCTCAGTTGGTGAACTATGGAAGGGTGCTTGGAGCTGCAGTGGTTAAACCCTCACATGATGAATTAAACCCCATGCTGACTCAGATATAGCATGTTTTTCCAGTACATGCAAATTAATCCCAGTCAATAAAGAGCTCCAGCTTGGGTTTCCAATGAGTCTTAATAAATATTGTGACGCCAAAAATATAAGCAAATTCTGCACTGCTTTGTATTGTTCTGAAATAAATAAGAGATCCCAAGTAACGTAGAAATAGCTAAAAGTTAAGAGTCAACTCTGTGTACTGAAAACACTGATATTATCTAGACAATAAGACTAATCATGTGTTCTTTCTAAGCACTCTAGTTCTTGTAGGAAACATCGCATTGAAAATTTGTCTGAAAAATTAGAAATGACTTGGAGATATGCAGGTAAATTTGGAACTGGGTATTGTACTTTCTTGTGAGTTTATTGCAATTGCCTCTTTTTGTTCATTGTTACTCATATCTTTTTCATAAAGATATATTTTCTGACATCTTTTATGTATCACTGGTACTATTCTTTATTAATGGCCTACTCCTTAGCAATCTCCATTCACTATAAGCTCTTACTATATTTTGGCTCTGGTTTTCCTTTTTGATGTATTTATTTTCCCACTGCCCTTTACTGGGTTTGGATGCTTTGATTCTGCAGGATTTGAACATCATCCTGCAGCCAGTGGAGCTCTGATCCTGATGTCACTCTGAATGCCCTGAAGGAGGCTACCTGGCCGTCACTTTGTGACTTTAAGCCGAGGCCTTTTGTCTACTTTTGTCATGCAGTGGGACATTAATCCAGCAAATCCTCTGAATGGCTCACAATGAAATACGCTTTTTAGCGTGGCCTAGTCAAACTCTGCGATGTTCGATTGTAACATTAAACAGGCCATTCATGTTTATAAATCCTCAAATATGGCTGAACTCCTCAGTGATGTAAAATATTAATTGCTTGTAATTTAAAGTGCTTGAAGTGTTGCTACCAAGGTTGACTGATTGTTCTGGGACTAAAGCTTTTTCACTTAGGAGCCAGTTGGTTTGGATTGCTGTTTTTACTTAGTAAGTAACATCATGATTATGGAACTGCATTTTGTGTTGAATCATGTTATTGATGACTGGTATTTAGATGTATTTGATGACGAGAAACATTTAAACGTGACAAAAAATATAATCAGATTAGATCTGTAAAAAGAACAAATACTTTCTGAAAACCACTAATTTTGATGGGCAACCAGAAGCTTAGAGTTAATTTCCAAAGACCCAAAGTTGCTTCAGTATTTAGGGCGATATTTACAAAGAGAACTCTGAAGATATGAAGGACATGCAGATCCATTTCAACTTGGAGAAAAAAAGACAGTTAAAATGCCATTTAGCTAAATATACAATACACTGTGGAAGGAATTCACAAATGAGTCAAAAAATAATAGCGATATAGAATTAAGTACCAGGTTTAAATCGGATGTGGGATATTCAACGTGTCGCATCACTTAAAACACAACAGAGTATGTGAATCAGCTCTGCTGGAGTGAAAAGGTTCAAAAGAGCCTCTGTTTACTGCCATGTTGTAGTAAAATTGTGCCAAGCAATGTAGAAATGCAGGGACTGACCCATCCAAGACCAGGAAGAATTTTAATTGGACCAGTACAGAGGCTGAACAATTTCTGCAAAGCAACTCAGATATCAGGGTTTTTTTTCATATCTTGTTTCTCTTAATTACACAGGCAGCTGGTTTCAGTCTATCTAGCAGATGTGTCCCGATCACCTTGAGGTTACGGGCTTCCACAAACAGATTATGTTCTGAATAAAAAAAAAAAAAAAGAAGACTGTGTGAGTGCGTGTCTTTTTCAGTTTCTCCATCTGGTTGGATTTGCAGGACAAGGACAGCTCTGGAGCCACGGTTCTCCACCTTGCGTGTCGCTTCAGTCACCACGAGATCACCGAATGGCTGCTGAAGAGCAGCGAGGTGGACCCCGGGGCCTCCACCGACACAGGAGCCCTACCTGTTCATTATGCAGCTGCCAAGGGAGATCTGGCTTCTCTCCGACTGTTACTGGGACACAGCCCAAAGTAAGACTTGTCTCTTCACAGAGTTTAAAATGCTCCCTTTTGAAGTTGCCCGTTTCCTCTTATCTGTAGCGACTTAATCTGGGCAATGTGAAGGATTTCAGAGATATTTTTAGCAAGAGGTTACAAATGACTTTGTTTACAGGACTAAGCAGCCAGTACCAGTGTGTGTACAACATACAGCAGCCCTCCAAAGTATTACACACTTTTTACCTAAACGTGCTTTCTGAATAAAATGTGATACTTAGCTATAC